ATTTGACATAAATTTAAAATAGAGTAAGAATTATATAAAAATCAAGTGTTTTTTTTTATAAATTAAATTAAGTTTTTCAAAATTTAAAGCAAATACAGGTACAAGTATAAGACGAATAAGTATATATCCATTTTCGTCCTTATACCTGATTTAATAAATAAAGTATTATCCGTATTCGACCAAATTGAATATTTCTCGTCAAAGTCAGGATGTGTAAGAGTTTACTTGTTATCCAAACATACACTAATTATAACTCAACTACTGTGCAACATAAAGAAATAATAATTATGAATAAACTTAAGGTTGTCGTGCACCCAATAACGAATCGTATACACATAAACAAATTTAAGGAATAGAAAACTAAAAACAACTTATACATATGTACCATCTACATAGAAAACTAACAGTGTTACAAAAATAATTGTATTTTATTAATTGCAAAATGACATTAACAAAATGTTATATACATTTAATAGACATGATATTATGTACATAGGCCATAAAAAATATTTTGGTACATAAGGGGAAGAAAACAAAATAAAGAAAAAAAAAAGGTTACTTAAACTCTAATGAAATTAGTTTCAATGATATTAATCATTAATTAGAAGTCTCCATAAATTTGCAAGGGCCATTCTACATTCACAACAAGAGTGTCAACCTTAGATCCAAGTTTGGAGAGCTAATTAGCCATTGATTCCCTTCATAAAGGAGATGCTTTATCTTGATATATCAATCTCTACTCAACAGATCCTTGATATTTGTCGCGAGTCCTACATACAAATGTCGAGGGCCTATCCATAAACGAAGTCCACCATCTTTGCAGTTTTTTGTGATGGTATCCCGCACTTGACCAAGTGTAAACTACGTTCAGCACCACCACTCTAGATGAAATGCCTCATTGTGTTGCAAATCTTTTGCATACAACTTTTTGAAGGAACCATTGAAGTTGCATTTTATATGTCAGGATGGAGGATAAAACATATTTAACAAGAGTCACACACCCTAGTCTATTAAGCAACCTTTCCTTCCACGATTTCAACCTTTCTATTTCTTGTTAATCACTTCGTCGGAGATTTTGTGGGTTACTCTTCAATGTGCAATGAGAAATCCCAAATATTTCTTTAGATTAATATTAGTAATCTCTACAATCTTCTGTTTCCTTCGGCTCATAACTCATGTTGATACAAAAGCTTTGGATTTATCAAAGTTAATTCTTAATCCAAATGGTGCAAAATTTGGTCCCAAAGGTTAGCTGCCAATCGAGGTTGGGGGGCTTTGCTTTATCAAAAATAAGCACATCATCCACAAAAAACAAGTCTAAGATCGTAGGCCCGGGTCTTGTGACCTTGAAAGGTTTCCAAGAACTTTCCTTCGCAACTAATCTTATCATGTTACCCAGTTTCTCCATGTTGAGGACAAAGAGGCATGGGGAAGGGGGATTCCCTTTTCTCAGATCCGCATAGTAGGAAAGTGATTATTTTATTTGCATTCCAAAGAAGAGTAATAATCATGACCCAAGAAATACTAACAAGAATGAGATTAACAATATTACTCGAAAATCCATATTTGTTTAGCATAGTCTGACAAAGGACCATTTGAGGCTGCCATATGCTTTCTCCAAGTTTTTTTTTTTATTCATTAGAAACTACAAATTGTAATATTTTTTTGATCGATTGAAATTATAATGATAACATCAGATTTTGAATTTAAAACTCAAAGCATCATTAGCAAAAGTACAAATTCTATAATATAAAATTATAGTTAAGACTAATCCTAGTTAATTATGTAGGATGATTAAAATTTAATTAAACCAAACGACAAAGCAAGCGAGAAAATAAAATAAAATAATAATTGGACAAGATGGAAAAAATTTAGAGAGCAATATTGAGTTTTTTCAAGCCGGCACTATTTTACATATGGATAGAAAATAAAATGAAAGTAGAAGAACGTTACAGAAATACATAAAATCCTAGGGTTTCTGCATTGAACTGAAAGGGTGCTTATTATTTATGTTGTTATAGAGCGAGGTATAAGTAATGAATTAGTTGGTGTTTACGATAACAGGAAGAGCTGTGAGGGAGAGATCCAAATCCATATCCTTAGGATCCATGTTGTTTTGGAGTTTCCAGTCAAAACAGTTGATCAAAGAACCCAACATGAGATGCAACATTCTGAGCGCAAGAGGAGAGCCAGGGCATATGCGTCTTCCACTGCCAAATGGTGTGAGCTTAAAATGTCGACCCTTGACGTCAATATCAGAGTCTAAAAATCTTTCTGGGGAGAAAACATGAGCGTTATCCCATACCTGTGGGTTCCTACCAATGGCCCACTCGTTGATCAGGACTTGGGCACCCTTTGGGACGGTGTATCCACACACTTGAACGTCTCTCTTGGCTCTACGTGGCAGTAACAGTGGTGCTGGTGGGTGCATACGTAAACTCTCTTTGATCACTGCTTGTAAGTAAGGAAGCCTTGCCACGTCCGATTCCTCAACAGCTTTGCCTACTCCAATGGTTTCTGCTAACTCCTTTTTCACCTTTGACATCGCCTCAGGGTTGTGCATCAGTTCACTCATTGTCCTTTCTAATCCATACGCTGTTGTGTCAGTTCCCGCAACCAAAAGATCCTATATATATATTATTACAAATTAAACATATATAATTAGTAATTAAAAAAGCTCATTATCTGCATGTGGAAAATTAAGTATATACATACAAGGAACAAATGTTTGATCTGCTTCTTATGTATCTTGTCGCTGCTCCTTTCAGAAACTTCCAACAAGATATCTAACATGTCGTGGTTTGTGACATAATCCTTCTTCTCTCGCCTCATCTTCATGCGTTGGTCAATTAAGGGTTCCAACACGTCGAACAGCTTGTCAATGTAATTGGTGGTGTGCCTTCTGATGCCTTGTGGATCGAAAATCCTCAACATGGGGAAGTAATCCACCAAGTTTGGTGTACCAGTTGCTTTCAAGAGAGTCCCCACTATGTGCTTGTACTCGCCATCACCTACAGAGGGAACAAAATCCTGAGAGACAAAGGCGTAAGACAGAAAGTTAATGCAGGCCATGAAAGCTGCTCTTCCAACGTCCACAGTTTCTTCATTGAGGCTGCTATGGCGGATATCAGCCAGGAGTTCCTGCAGTTTCTTGCGTCTAAGGTCTTGGCTAGCGTCGAGGGTTTTGGTGGAAAACAAGTTTCCGTGGCAGATTTTTCTGAGTTCTTGCCAGAGGGGTGAAACGGGGAGAAAGACCAAGCTGTAATGGTTGTGGTTGTAGGCTGTGGTGATGTCGGGGTTTGTTCTGTCCGAGAATAACGTGTCGTGGGTTTGGAGAATCTCTTTGGCTGCGTCTGTGGAAGAGATTATTACTGTCGTTGATTGGCCTATCTTGAAACGCATTATTGGGCCGTACACCTTGGCTAGCTTCGCCATTGTCTGCTGTGGCTTCTTGTACAGTTCCAACGAGTTTCTGATTATGCTCACTAGGGAGGGTCCCGGTGGAAGCTTGTAGTTCGATTTTCTTCTTCTTGCATGCATTTGCATGAGGCTGCATGCCAATGCCATTGCCATTGCCAACACCACCATCACTGTGCTTACCACACTATCCATCTATATTTCTGAGCCAATAAACACAATCAAATTTACGTAAGAATTAATTTATTAATGCATTCATCATTATTCATTAATATTAACATACATATCTATATATCTGAAAAGTGAAACTAGAGGAGTAAGGACTTCGTTATACATACCTCTCTCAATTAATTTAATAAGCTGTTTGTAAGAAGAAACTCACTCAAACAATTCCTGCCACCTCCTTTCTTCTTCTCCTCCTTTTATAGATGGATTGAACTAACTCTACTATGTATTTTCACCATCAAAATCATGTTTTCTTTTACAATAAATATTTAAACCGTTTATTAATGATTCATCTACCGTTGCTTTACGCGGTTTTAGACTTGTCCTTGCACGTTGACTGCGCTAGCTATTCGAAGAATGTAAACCACAACGTAACTTTCGTAACTGGGTACAAGTGTGTTTCTACCGTCACGTGGCAGAACAAGGATACCAAACAAATTAAACCCTAAACTCTAAACATTAAATATTATATTTACAATACTATCTATTAACAACATAATGTAGGAACCAACCTCGCTACACTCATTTGAGCTACACAAATAGTACTTAACTAATTAAAATTAATAACACTAGGGTTATCATAATAGTT